CACACACACACACAGTTATTAGCAAATGCTAATAAATGCTAATGTTTTACATTTGACAAGAAATAAAAAGGTAAGGTGTTAGCATGTGCTGGTAGCATAGTATGTAATTAACAGGATGTTATTATTATTATTTGTGATAAAACAGACACCTAATAAACGGATTAAAGTAATCAATAGTATAGTAAGTTCTTTTGTCGCTGCCTGTGTGTTATCCTGACTACACATTAGTTTCATCACACCAGACGTTCATTCACAGCATACGGTGAATATTTATGATGTCATGGTTTTCCTGCCTGCCTGCTTGGAGACTAGAACAGACTTTAATTTATTGCAGAAAGTCTCTGATGTGAAACACGTTACTGGAAAGATCCAGTGTTTTTGGAGGTCGACCCATACGAGGGAATGGAAGTCGGGATTTCTGTGATATATTTAACCACAGTCTCACCTGAAGGGGTGCAGACCACCTCCTCTGTACCTCAGCTTATTCTTCAGTTTGGACTTATACCTGGAAAACATTCACATTAACACCAACTGTAACACAAAGCATGAATATTCCTCCAGTTTCTGCTTTTTGGTGTCACACTGTGGCAGTGGTGGAAAGTAACTAAGTACATTTACTTCATTTAGTAAGTACTGTACTTCAGTATTCTGAGGCAAATATTGTAGTTTTTACATTACATTTATCTGACAGCTATGGAGTAAAGTTACATTAATGTATTTGTACTGTGTGTGTGTGTGTGTGTGTGAGTGTGTGTGTTTGTGTGTCTCACTTACAGGTATTTATTACAGTCGCACTCGAGGGGGCGGGCCTTCTTCAGGTGGCCTCTGACCTCTCTCAGGTTCTTTATCTTTGTCTGCAGCGTCTCAATCTGACAGAAAGAGAAACAGTTCAGTCACAACTGAGTTAGACACTTAGTAACTTAATCAATTAGTTTGTCAGTTAGTTCATTAAGCCTTATAATGAGGTACTGTAGAGCTGCAGAAACGCTCTGCTCTACAAATCTTGTTCTCCAGATGTAAGAAAATATGTTTGTTTGGTTCAGACCCCAAAAAACTTTTAGATCATCCCTATAGAATCTTTTTTATTGTATCATAAAGCCCTATTAGACAATTAGTTAGTCAGTTAGTTAGTTAGTATGTGAGCTGTGTGTTACCTCGTGGTCAATATGCAGCTTGTGGTCCTTCCAGGCCTGCAGAGACTGATAAACTCCTGTATCACACTTCACTGTGGCGTTGGGCAGAATGGAACATCTGCAGTCAAACAGGAATAACGACAGTAACGTTACATAGGTCAGCAACACACATACACACACATATATATTATAACAAGAGACCTGAGGACACACAGGCTGACATTTATTTTCTAATCACAGAAATCCAGAAACTCTAACTTAATGTCAAGTGCTGCAAATAACGATGAAAGCCTATCGATGGATTAATATAATGAATTTATTCTTTGAACAATGTGGGCAATAAAACAGATCTTCATCTGTCTGACGAACACTTAATGGATTAATGGATTTAGTGGATTATACAGCAGCTGTGAGCTGCCTTATACCCACAATCAATGATAAAACGTATTTTCACTTTACTGAAAGTGATTTGTTGGGTCATTGTTAATATTTACATATTATTTATTTATTATCATTATGCTTGATTGTAGATGCACTTCTCTGTAACATGTATATGCTTTTATATGGCCCATGCTATCACTGTTGGGTCCTGATTAAGTGTCTGTCAGACCTGTTTTATTATCAGTTTTATTCACTCAACAGTAAGGAAGATTCTGACCTTCTCTTTTGGATTTGTCCTCTAACAAAGGAGCAGAATTCAAACTTTTTCCTGTTTTTTTGAATAGTCGTCAGTGATTTACACAGCTGGTAGATTCAGTGGAGCAATCTGAGCTCCATCTGTGCTGATGAGCCTCATTCACTCAGTTAGTCATGATTTATCAGCTGTTATACGACATTAAGTTGCCACCACAGATTGTAATTAGATAAGAGGTGTTTAATAACATACAAACGCTCACAGTTTAAGTCTTACAGATTAAGTGACGGCAGTAGCTTTGCACAGAAACAGCTGGTAGAAATGTCCTTCAGAGTTCTTTTAAACGTTTTCATTTGACTACATTTAAACTCGAGTATCGGTGCTTCTACTCAAGTAAAGGACGCGGTTACTGATGCTGTATCACACGAGCTCACCTGTGTGTGACTTTGAGGGAGTTGGACGCCACCCTGCCGATGGGAACTCCTCCCATCCCGCTGAACTCGTCCTCAGTCTCCTCTCGTATCAGCTGAGCCCAGTCGGCGCCACCCACCACACTGTCGTTGCCAGGGTAACTGTTGGTCATGGATATGGAGCGACTGTAGCGGTTCCTGGAGTAACTCTTCAGGGCCTTGAACTCTGAGACGCACACAGAGGAACAAGTTGTAACATCCTGCAGACGCTAACGTCTCCGACTGCTGCTGCCTTGTAAGATAGTTAGTTAGTGTAAGATAGTTACTCAAAAAATTTAATTTATTACTCTTTTCTAAAGTAGTAATTACTTTACTTATTACTCCCTGTCAGCAGTAATTAGTTACACTACTAGTAATATAACTTTTCTGCTACTGCCAACATAATTGTGTCCTTTTTAAAGGTTAAAATCCAGTTTTGTTTGTTAAAATTAAAGTCATCAGAATATTTCAAGCCGCTGAATGTTTCATCTTCCAAATTAGTTTCCTCCACGATTACAAAACTGAATCCAAGGATATGATTGGATGATTGGATCGTTGGATTTCAGATCAGTAGGAGGAGACAATTACAATTTTCTTTAGGGGGTAACTGTACTGACACTGTTCCTCACTAAGAGAACCTCAGGGTGTAGTTCTGACCTCAGACACTGGAGGGCACCAGAGAGCCACCTATGCACCTCCAGCAGCTCCCCTGAGAACCAGGTTAAAGGGTTTTTGGGTAGTTAATTCTACCCGTGAGACTGAATGGTAATTCTGGGCGATATAAATACATTTTGAACAGTAGGAGTCATAATGCAGGACTCACAGAGAACTTTACATTGAACATTAAAGTTGCATATCTGGAATCGCAGGTATCTTCTTTCTTTAAACGTAACTGAAACCTACAGGAACTTATTCTCTGTTGCTGATGACTGAAACTATGGTGGCCTTAAATCACGTGAAAAACGCGGTTAATGGTTGTAGTGCTGTTATAGGATTATCAATCTCAGAAAACTCTACTCAGCACATAAGCACCACAATAGAAACTGTTGTGTTATCCTCGACATATTCAGTGCACATACAGTATATTTTAATTGTCAAAGCAGAAAACTCTCATGTTACTTTTACTAAAATGACCAGCCTGTTTCTAACAAACATTGTATAACTGGACATGAACTTTATATGATATTAGTCCGGATATAAAACTGCACCTGCTAGTATCGAGATTATTGATCTGATGATTTGATAACATTAAGAGTGAAACCAAACCTGCCGACGATACATTTACTCTATTTTTAATAATTTTTTTTGTGAACCTCCAACCTCAGACTGCATCTATGCATGTAAGATGACCCGTGTCTCATTCTAAGGTAACAAAAACACAATGATTCTTATATTTAGGTGATTAAACAGTAATGTAGACATACCTATGGATATATATTATATTATATTTCTGATAATAGATCCTCCTGAACGGATCTTTAAATGCTTCTTTATTCTATTGTAGCTCTATTGTGCCCCCTGCTGGACTAAACAGCAAACACTCACTCTTCTTGGAGAAGAACGGTTTCTTGTTGAACGGCCTCATCACGGAGGGCCGCAGGTTCAGAGGTCGGAGGTCGCGGAGGTCGCAGTCGCAGGCGTCGGAGTTCTGATGGTACAGCTGAGACTTGATGCTGAGCGGACGCTGACGACCGGCCATGCCCCTCTGGAAGTTCTTGGCTCCTCCCCCTTCGCTCTTACACTTGAAGAGCCGAAGCTTCCCGGTGGCGTCCTCCACACACTGCCACTTCTACAAACACACACATACAGAGTACTGACGACACTACGGTTTTTCACCACCCACAGATGACCGCACGATGTCAGAATCCCTGCCAGACGGTGATTAACGGAAAGGATCTGTGCTACGTTCAGATGTCCCAGGGAAAGACAACAGAAAACAGATTTTCTGCTTCAGTTATTTGCGTACCAGTTGGAAATATAGTTAATACAGTTCACAAATCCATCTGCCCTCTTTGGGATCAACTTGAACCACGTAGAAAGCAGTGTCTACCTATCAGCCCTTTCACCAGAACCAACCCTCAGTGTCTCTCTGAGTGCTGGTCGCTGTTTTAGCTCCGTGCAGTCGTTCATTAGCTGCAGCTGAATGAATTTCTACTCTGGCTCTGAGTCGGTTATTAAGGAGCGACAAATGGTTGAATTGTTAATTACAAACACACACGGAGAGTTTCCTCCTCCAGGCTGTTTATCAGAGCGATCCAGCAGCCGGCAGACACTGTTGCTAAGAGACCAATCAACCGGCTGGAGGGGTTTATCGACGAGTGTAATTAACCTCAAACACTTGAGAAAGCACTGCGACAACAACAACAACTCTTTGAACATGTTGGAGGAAAGTTTCTGTTCTCTTTTGTTCTTTTAGTCTGTTGTGTTTCTGCTGGTGATTTCTGCTGTTACTGCTGTCAGTGCTGATACTGCTGTCAGTGCTGTTAGTGCTGTTACTGCTGTCAATGCTGTTATCTGTCTGAGACACATCTGGTTTCATCTCTTACACTGTTTGTTTATTACGGCAGCAGAGTTTCTGCGTTTGTTCCAAAAAAAAACATACTTTGAATTGAAGTAAATTTCTAAAGATTTAAAAGAGCAAATTAATGCGAATTAGCAGTAAAGCAATGGGATATAAGGTAGAGTAATGTTATATACAGTAGAGTAATGGGATATAGAGTAGAGTAATGGGATACAAAGTAATTGTAATGGATAACTGTACCTGTCCGGTCTGCTGACAGGGCGTCTGGTACTCGGCTCTCTGACAGAGGTCTTTTACTCGTTGGTATTTGGGCAGGAAGTTCTCCTCCTGCGACACTTCCTTTCCCTCGACACGCTGGTGCAGCAACTTCCTGTTAACAGACGAACAAACGGCGTCTTTCTGTCTCTGAGACTGTTCTTTTCCTGATTAAAGTTTCTTTATCTGAGTCAAAGGTCTAACAGGACCTCCTGTGACTCAGTGAGGGTTGGGTCTTATTTTTGTAGTTTTGTCCTATGTATAAAAACGCAACAACATAATTAGAAAGAAGTCTGATGGGAAGAAACATGAGCCGACAGGTTGGGAACACACCTGATATCCATACATATAATATGATGTTTATTTACCCTCTCTCCACCAGGAAGGAGTCTCTCCACACCTTTGGCTTCTTGTTCACCTGGAATCTGCAGAAAAAGACAACAGTGGTGTTAGTTCAGTCGCTGCACGAGTTCACCTGCTGTTTTTAATGCAGTCATCACCTCCGCCCTTCGTCCTTCCTCTGTTTTATATCCGTAACATCAGCTCCAGGATCAGAGTCTGCTCGGTGAGCTGCTTAAAGCGCTGCGCTGGCGTCACTTCACACAATTAAACTCCAGTTCAATGAAAAATTCAAAGTTGTGGTTGCGGCTCCTCTTTAGTGCCACATGTACAAATATCACATTCATATTACATTCACACACACACACACACACACACACACACACACACTGTTCACCCATCAACTACATCTGTTTTCTATTCTGGGATGTTTGTAAGTTTAACTTTCAGGAATAATATTTAGATTTTAGTGGAAACAACTGCAGGACTTTTTCCACTCGTCTTTTTTCTTTATCGATTCGCAGAAACGACAACAGTTTAAAATAGTGCTGAGTGAAAAACACTGTTGTAAAGTAGTTACTTAGTGCTCAGTAAAGGCTGAATGTGGAGTATAGGTCCCTTTCTGTAGCATAAAGTACAAGAGAAGTATTCACATTAGATTACATCCAGTGGATTACGCTGCCAACACTGAACCCTGATGGTTCTAGTGCAGCAGATTCAGGTTGGCTTACACATGTATGTATAAATATATATCACTCATACAATTGCCTTTTCTATGTTTTTTGCTTCGTTGCAAGATATTTTTTATGGGGTGTAAGAAAACTTTAAAAAGAGTGGGCCTATAGCTCACCATTTCATTCATTTCTTTAAATAAAAATAAATGAAATTATTATTTTTAAACTGATTTCATAGAGCCTTCACTCATTTGAGTTTCAGGGGAAAAAAAACACTGAATTTGTCAAAAAAAGAAGCCTATCAAGGTTTTAAATTTGTTAAAAAAAATAAAGAAAAGTTCCTGAAAGTATCAGGAAAACTCATGATCAATATTCACAGGAAACAATCTGCTCATTTTACACAAACTTCCTGCAGTTACTGTGTTCACTGTTTGTTGTAATGGTTCAGTTTATCAGCTGTTCTCTGCTGTTATTGTTATTATTAAATATAATATGAAATATACATAAAACATAGTTGTGATACAAAAAGGCTCCTTAATGACAAATGTTAGGAACCACAGCCTTAGAGTATATGAACGCCGCTGTGCTTTGTTCTACCTCCAGTCGGGGTATCTCACCTTTGGCGGTCTTCCCTTTACCCTATTAGCCAGCAGAGACTTCCCGAGGCGATTGAGACTGTACGGACTGAGCAGCCAGACCATGCTGATGTTTTAATGGTCTGTCCTAGAGAGCAGCATTAGACAGCGGTTTGGCAACTTAACAGTGCAGCTGAGAAGCAGTGGCCCACCAGCACGCACGAAAGGACTGAATATAAGCCTGTACAGAAGGAAACAAACTGAGCTCTGAATAAAACCTCTGCCATCAGGAAGAAGACTCTGTGTGCCATCTCAAACAGACGGAAGTTATCATCTCAGCTTCTATCAGGCTGCTGGACCCCGACACTGAATCATGTGTATAAATAATAAATAAACCGGCGCTTTAATCCGTATAGTTTCTCACACTTTTTAAGCTGCCATATTGTTAGTGTTTTTGTGAAGCAACAGATTGCAGCACTGTGCCCAAGATAATAAAGTTTATTCTACTCTTTACTCTGGTGGAAGTACAGACACACTCACAGTAAAAGCAGAAGCACTGATTCTTTACTCCAGTGGAAGTGAACAAGAACAGGCTGTGAGATGTACTCAGAGTATAAAAGCTTTAAACTTCAAACAGGGCCAAGGCTCTCCGCTCTTGTTGTTACATCTTTCATGTTGTTTTCATCATGTTTCGCCCATCATGCATGCTGTGCTCCGGTGCTGATGCTGGGAAGGCGTGCGATGATGCAAAAATGCATTAAAATGCATTAAAGGAGCAGAAAGAACTTCATGTGAAGTAGAAAGTAAAATAAATAAGTACAGAACTGAAATATTTACACTGTAAATAAAATCTGTACGTTTATCATGATTTTTTCTTTATTCTTTTTAAATACATGGAAATATTAATAAAATTACAAAAATAGTCTTTTATGTGAATTTACTTGCACACATACACAGAAAACGACAGCGTTTGTTGGTGTATTTATTGCACCAGCGATGTGTTTAAAGTGTTTAAAGTTTAATGTATTCTAGTACAAGTGGAGACACAGCGGCTCATTGAGGAGCTTTAAACAAGAACTGTATCAGAAATCACACAGTCAAACCTGAACACACACACGCATATTTACAGATCTAGTGCGACATCCCGAGGACGTCATTATCTTTGATAATAAAAGCTGCTAAATAAACACATATAAATCTGCCTGGAAACCAGAGAAAAAGATCACATTTATATTTATAAATTAATCTATGACCACGTTTTCAAGTTTTCTTCATCTTATCTGTACATGCAGGAGTATAATAACAGCAGCAACTTTTAATGGTGCTAATTTGGGATAATTATAGATATATTTATATAATTATTTAGGGTTATTTTGATATTTCACTGATTGCAGAAGTAATCTGAGGAAAATGTGACTCTGTTAAGCTGCAGTCGATAACTTTGTCTACACCTAACCAAGAGGTTTTTGTGCCTCACCAAACTCCATTAACATGAACCGCTCAAGCTTTTATTTTGCATCCAGAAATAAAAGAGACACCTACAGCGAGATATTATGAACTGACCCGAGCGGCAGTGTTTGACTTCAGTGTAATCATTCTTTCAGCTACAGTCTGCGTTCCCAACGGGGACAGATTGCTCTGTTCTTCACAGAGGAGTTGAGGAAGAAAGAGGGAACAGATGCTTCTACGGTCTCTCGCTGCACTCGCCAGGATGTACAGAGCCAATTACAAACTTGTTCAAACAGCCGGGATCCTTCCTCAGACATTCAGGTTTCAGAGATCTCTTTAAAGGAATAACGACGTTGGATCACAATCCGTTTGACAACCTGACAACCTCCGACCTCCGACCTCCTGACCCTGACGTTCGCCTTTGTCGATACTTTGATCGTTGGGAATATTAATGGAGGATTTCTGTCCCTGCAGGCGAAGCAGATGGCTCTCGCTGTGTTTCTGCGCCCAGGTGTTTAAATGAGGGCGTTACAGCTGAACGGCATCCCGCTGCACCAGCAGCAGGAGGATGATTTACATACTGATGGTTTGCTTCAGCGAGCGTCTTCCCTCCTCTGACCTCTGCCTTCAACACACCGGTTAGCACATCACACTGTTAACCTTTTACTGCAGTAATAATATCACAGGCACATTTTATGAGTCATTAACCCGTTCACTCTCTGGAGGAAAGGCAACAAAGCATAAAGTGTTTCTTCAGGCAGGAAAATTGTTGGTACGTTAAAATATGTTCTGTATGAGGAACTTCTGAGCTTTGGTCGTCATCTTTTTTACTTAATGAATATGCATATCTGCCGGTATAAAATGTATAAATACTGCATAAACTCCTTAAAAACTTTTATGGTACAACTGTAAAGTACTTTTATATACTTCAGTATATAGCTGCTGTCAGTGGAAAAAACCTTTAGTGGATGCACTTTGACGGGCAAATTTGTCATCAAGGATTAGCTAATGTTAGGGTTAGGGTTAGGATCCCACTGCTACGTCTAACTCTGTGAATTAAGGATTTATTTCCACCA